GCCCCAGGAGGAGGAGGAGGAGGACGCCAACAGCTACGACTCTGATGAAGGCAGTACGTCCCCGGGGCGGCCAGCTGGAGGGGAGGGAGGTGTTTCTTTGGGAAATCTGGGATTTTGGGGAGGTGGTCGCTGCGGGACTGTGGCTGGCACCGTAAGGTTGTGGGTCCCCCCCGGGGAATGCCGCTTCCCTGCGGGGTTCGGAGCTGGGGCAGGGTCCTGCAGGCTGTCCCTGCCCAGTCGTTCCAGCACAGCTTGTGGGATCTTCGGTGGGTTTTGCACCGAGCGACTGGGCTCTGAGAGGTGCTGGTTCAGGCTCTGTGCTCACGCATCTTTCCCATCTCCAAATTCGAGTCCCGAAGGCGGCTGCCGCTTTCCGGCAGAGCATCCTTTGCTGCGAGAAACACCGCCGGACCCATCTGTACGAAGGGCTTGGCGGCTTCAGTACCTTTATGCCATGAGGTCTTGGTGTTCGGTTATTTGCTCCCAAAAAAAAAGGGGGTTTGGTACGTGAGGATGAGCTTCTGTGGCAGAGCAGTGCTTCCCCCCTCCAGCCCGTTCCCTCCCAGGACGGGAAGAGCTGCTCAGGGCCAGCAGCGGGTGCAGAAATTGTGCTTGGATGGGAGCAGATGGACCCAGCTGTGCTTCTGTGCTGACTCTTCATCCCTGGGATTATTTTTTCTGAAAAAAAAAAAAAAAAAATAGAAAACACGAAGATGAGCGCGAGCTGGTTCCCAGCAAGTCAAAACAGGGGCCAAACACCGAGCCCTGAGCCTTGGGAGGAGCTGCTGACCACCCGAGCTGGAACACCTTCTCGGGGCGTTCCTGGGGTGGCGTTGCTGCCCTGAGCCGTGCCCAGAGAAGGGTTTGTACCCTTACATCCTCCTTTTGCGTGGGAATATTCAAGTCTGCTCCAAAGCCCCAGGCTGCCCTCCAGTTCCACCTTTGTACCGCTTTGATGACCGGAGCTCGTCAAGCTGGCTGGATTTGCGCGTGGCAGTTTGGCCGACGCCGGCGCAGACCCACGTACTTTAAATGGCTTTACGTTCGAACCGCAAATCTTTCTAATTATTCCTAATCGGGGCTGATTAAACACTTTCTGGCTGGGGTTTTAACGAGGTCCTATTCCCACCTCCTCTCTCCCTCCGCCGGCAGCCACGCTGGGAGCGCTGGAGTTCAGTCTGCTCTACGACCAGGAGAACAGTTCCCTCCACTGCACCCTCATCAAGGCCAAAGTGAGTGGTCCTCTTTTTTTTTTTTTTCATCCCCTTCCTCCCCCGCTTCTTTCACTGATTTAAGTCTGGCTGGTTCCCAGTTCCCCCAGTGCAATGGGATGGAAGCAGTGTGGCCGCGGGCAGAGGCTGCTCCCCCCGGGAGACCCCAGTCCAGCCCCCGCTGGCACTGCTGCTCCTGGGTGGGAAGGAGAGGTCCACGGGGCTTTTCCCCGAGTGGGTCCGAGGGGTCCGTGGGGCTTTTCCCCGAGTGGGTCCGAGGGGTCTGTGGGGCTTTTCCTCAAGTGGGGCTGAGAGATCTGTGGGGCTTTTCCCTGAGGGATCTGTGGGGCTTTTCCCTGAGGGATCTGTGGGGCTTTTCCCTGAGGGATCTGTGGGGCTTTTCCCCGAGTGGGTCCGAGGGGTCCGTGGGGCTTTTCCCTGAGGGATCTGTGGGGCTTTTCCCCAAGTGGGGCTGAGAGATCTGTGGGGCTTTTCCCCGAGTGGGTTTGAGGGGTCTGTGGGGCTTTTCCCCGAGTGGGTCCGAGGGATCTGTGGGGCTTTTCCCCGAGTGGGTCTGTGGGGCTTTTCCCGGAGTGAGTCCGAGGGATCTGTGGGGCTTTTCCCCGAGTGGGTCTGCTCTGTCAGCACATCATGGCACCCACGCCGGCTCGGGGCGGAGAAGGAGCCTCTTGGCTTACTGAACACGTTTTCTCTTTACCGAGTTGCTTCCCGGGTCACTTTTTCTCTTCCCTGGCTCCGGGTAAGGAGGATTCACGCACCGTGTTTTCATTATTATCTTTTAGGGCTTAAAGCCGATGGACTCAAACGGCCTGGCGGATCCCTACGTCAAACTGCACCTCTTGCCCGGTGCCAGCAAGGTGAGGCTTTGCCTTTTTTTGGGTGTGTTTTGGGCTGGGGATGGAGCAGCGGTTTCTCCAAGCCCCCTGAGGTCCTTTTCCTGCGTCAGACTTCATCTCCTTGATTTCTCCCCGCAATCGCTCACCGCTGCTCTTTTACCCGGGAGGGATCTCCGAAAAGCGATGACGCTTGCAGATGCTCTCCCGTACCCGAGGAACAGCTCATGCTGCAGACAGGGATCTGCTTAGGGATGGGAGGGAGCTCCGGAGGAGGTGACACTGTTAATGCATCGCAAAACATCTGACACTAAATCTCATTATTACCAGAGTTTGGAAGATCCGTTCGCTCCGAAGCTGCGGTGTGCTCTCGTGAGAGCTGTGAAGAAATAACCGTTGAATAGAGTCTGAGTAAACTCCCCTCTCCCCATCCAAGAGAGCACTGGAAATCTCACTCCCCAGCCCAGCTAAGCTGACCTCGGCGGGGAAACCTTTGCGGGAGGGATGCCCACGGCTGCCCCCGTGCCCGAGGGGAGCTGGATCCTTGCTCGGGGGCTGCAAAGCTCTTCCCTGCAGCAGAGTTTTGCTCAGAGGAACTATATGTTAAAAAAAAAAAAAGGGGGGGGGGGAGATAATAAAACCTTTGGATTGATATTTACAGATTGGCTGTATGCACGGGGACTTTCTGGCCACCCGTGTCTCGTGCAGGGTAAATCAAGGTGTCGTGATCTTGGGAGCTGCTTTGCTTTCTGTTGCTCTCTTGTTTGCCGGTCTTCCTCGTAGAACTTTTTTACCGTGCACATGTGTTTGTGAAAAACACGTGAACAAGTGGCAGAGCTCCTCATTTCCCAAGCTGTCATCTCCTTTAGACCACGAGAGCCGTTACCCAAGCCCCCTCCCTCGCAGCCTGCCCTCTGCAACCCTTACACAAGCGTCCTTGAAGGAGAAGAGCCCAAGCAGTGAGGAAGGCCGGGCGGTGAAGGCCGCCCTGGCCACTGCAGGTGACAGAGTCCCCATGCTTGCATAAAGGTCCACCTTGTCGGGTCGGTGACGCTCACCTGGAGTTGATGGCTCGCCGGCGCGACAGCCTCAGCAGGCAGCAGTGACGTCCCGCAGAGTCCAGGTGCCCCAGTCAAACCACCTCTTGTGAGCCAGAAGTGATGGAGCATCTCATTTACGTTCCTCCGCCAGGAGCCGAAATTTAGGCGGGGAGGAGTTCGGGGATGTAATTATGCCGTGTTTTGTTTTGATGCCACAGTCAAATAAGCTGAGAACGAAGACTCTGCGCAACACCCGTAACCCCGTGTGGAACGAGACCCTGGTGTACCACGGCATCACAGACGAGGACATGCAAAGGAAAACGCTCAGGCAAGCGGAGGAGCCGCGGCATCCTGCAGTACGGGGGGATGGGGACCGTGGGTCTCCCCGCACGGAGCATCGCCAGCCAGCCTTCCTCGGGAGGGCACCGGCAGCAGAGCGCAGGTGTTGATGGAGCACCTGGAAATACAGAGGTTTTTTGCCAAAATCAGCATTCTTCACATGGACATGCTGATTTTGATGGTCTTTTTTAACAAGAGAAAGGAAGGCATTTAGACCCTGTCGTTTAATATTAAATTATCGGTGTTACTATTATTTTTATCAGCATAGAGATTTGTGTGTTGCACATCTGTGCGTGATTCGACAACGTCCCAGCAAAACGTTTAGATGTCTCTGAAATTTTTGGTATTTTCTTCCTACAGGAAATTTCCACTTTTTGATTTCTTGCCCCATCATAGAGCACATATTCAAAATGTTGATTTTTTTTTTTTTTTTTTTTTTTTTTTCTGGCAGAACAAGTTGGATTTTCTGACCGCTTTTGGTCAGAGGAGAGAGTCAGATGGACGGAGGCTTCGAGGGTGCCTTGCTTTGTCTGCCCCTGAGCAGTGCCCTTGCAGGAGGGGTTTTGTGCTCTGGAGTCAGGTGCTGCTCCAGCCTGGCTGATGTTCACCTTTCCTGTTCCCTTCAGGATCTCCGTGTGTGATGAAGACAAATTTGGCCACAATGAGTTTATTGGAGAAACTAGAGTTTCCTTGAAAAAACTCAAAGCCAATCAGAAAAAGAACTTCAACATCTGCTTGGAGAGAGTAATACCAGTGAGTTTCTGTGAAACGTCTTCCTGCTACCATTAATGTTGATGCTGGGAACAAACGGCGTGTGGGGCAGCTAGTGGCGAGCTTGGAGATGGAACCAGCCAAGAGCTGTAGGTGCCTGACCTCAGTGGCATCTTTAGGAGTTGGATTCCCGACCATGGCTGGGCTGATGTGACCTGTCAAGGCCAGGAGATAAGAGTGTGGTAGGAATCCAGGGGATGTAACTCTGGGGACCTCCCTGGTGGCCGCGGATCTGCTGGCATTGCCGGCCTATGCTGATGTATGTCACTGGGGAGGAGAGGGCGGGTTGCTCCGCTCCCCAGTGCTGTGGGTGAGGCGTTGACTCTGTTGAGGTGGAGGTTGATGGAGCAGATGAAGGTACCTGAGCCCCTTCCACTTCAGAGGCCAGTGAAAGAGCTGGGCTGGGCTCCCGCGGGTGGTTTTGCCATAGGATGGTGCCTCTCCCCGTGGTGCGGTCACTCACGGCAGTCTCTTTTTCTCTTCCCTACCCAAGATGAAGCGTGCTGGAACAACCGGCTCATCCCGTGGGATGGCACTGTATGAGGAGGAGGTAAGAATCCTTGGAGGATGATTGCTCCGTGCATGTTTCACCCATGATCTCTCATGTACGAGCCCCTTTTTTTCCCCTCCTCATGGAGATACGAGGTTCCCTTGTATCCATCTTGTCTCATCTGCTGCGCAGTTGACCATCTTCCTCGCTCGGTCCCCGTGTCCCCATCTCTGGCTGCTCCCTCTTGCAGGTAGATCGTGGTGGGGATGTGGAGGAGCGCGGGAAGATCCTCGTGTCCCTCATGTACAGCACCCAGCAGGGCGGCTTGATCGTCGGCATCGTACGCTGCGTGCATTTAGCAGCCATGGATGCCAACGGATACTCAGACCCTTTCGTTAAACTGTAAGTGAGAACTGGGGCTGGCGTAGCGCGGGAACGCGTGGTCGTGGAGCCACCCACCGTACGTGGGCAGTAGCTGCTGCTCTGAGAGCTCCTTCCAAACCCACTGGAGAGAGGAGAGTGTTTCCCGAGCACCTTGAGACCTCGGGCAGGACTAAGCTGCCCGCCGGCGATGCCTGTGCGAGGTGGTAATGCTCTACTTGAGTATCCTGCCATGGCTGAAGCTAGGTGAGACTGACCCAGCCCTTAGGTCCGTCTGTTCCCCGTAGGTTCCCAAATGCAGAGACCCAACAGCTGCCCTGTACCTGTAGAGCTGGAGGACAAGATGTCCTTCTCCCAAGCTCTGACCCATCGTGGCTTCAGGGCAGGGGTGGCTTGATGTCCCTCCGTGGGTGACAAGGAGCACAGGGGTCGCCCTGCTCTGCCTGTCCCTGTCCCGTGCCATGTGTCTGCTGTAAAAAAAAAAATCAGCTTAATTAATACAGGCGGCGGCGTTTGCTGCGGTTCGTGGCGGCGATGCCTCGCTGGGAGAGGGAGAGGGTCTCCTCGAGCAGCAGCGCGCCCGTCGGTGCTGGCGGAGGCAGGCGATGGGGGAGCGGCGCTTGTCGGGTGGCTCCTGCCAACATGGGGGAATAAGATCGTTTTAACTCGAATCTCATAAACTGTGACACGGAGAAGACCCTGCAGTCATTCCTGGTTGCGGTTTTCATTGCTGTTTCTTCCTTGCCTTCAGAAAAAAAACAACCCTGTTCTGCCTAAAACTCATTCAATAACTCTTGTGTTGAACATTTTGCACATCTTTTTGTAGCTGAGCGGAACCGAGTAGTTTTCCTTCTCAGTTTCTCCCTTTTTTTTTTTTTTCTATTTTTCCATTCCCACAAACAGAAGATGGTGGCTTTCCGCTTTTAAATCAGCTTCCAACGTGGAATCTAATTAATGCCAACTCTACAATTTAGTTCTGGGTTTGCAGCCAGGCTGCGAAGCCCGAGCCCTGATTTTTCCCACAATCTCTAGGTGAACCTACCTTGGCTGACCACACTAGTCTGCGTGGTATTAAACACTAATGGGCTACTTTTAGCTTTTTTTTTTCTTTTTTTTCTTTTTTTGCCACGTTTCTCCCCATCTCTGCGTGCGTTCATACATTCTTGGCTGGGTTTTCCAGCAGCTGGGCTCGGTGAGCGGCCGTGGGATTGCCCTCATCTGCTGGTGACCAGCAGACATACTCCATATTCCCTGACTGTTTCAGCTCTTCCGTGCTCTCGGCCTTGGCAGGTTCCTCCCCAGCAAAACGCAGAGTTCACCCTCTTTTGCTCCATAAAACACCTACAATCGTTTCTTTTAGCGTGGCTTGGGGGGAAAAAGACTTGGGACCAGCGCGTGGTTTGGAAGGACATCACGAGCGGATATGCGGGCTCGCTGCTGTCTGGGGGTTACCCAGCGACTCTGAGCAGGAGATGCTCCCCCAGAAAGGTTTCTGCTGAGCTCAGCGCTCTGTGCAAAGCAGGTCTTTATGGTTTCCCATGTCTCGACTGAAAATCCAGGGGAAAAAAAAAAAAAAGGAGTATTCAGGATGTTAGTCATTTTGCATTTATTGCAGATAATTTTAGAAGATGGGAAGGGAAACTGGCTAAGCCATTTCTTTGCCTTAAGTATCTTTGGTTGCTTTTTTCTAGCCCCAAACTTCACTTTTTTTTAAGCTTATAAACTCACACTGTTCTTGCACTTGAGTTTTGAGCTGTTTTCTGTTGCCCCCAGTTGGCTGAAACCTGACATGGGAAAAAAGGCCAAGCACAAGACACAGATTAAGAAGAAAACATTGAATCCCGAGTTTAATGAGGTAAAGACAGACCTAATTTTTATGTTATTAAATCAATTTAGCCAATTATGATGTTGTGCGGAGGAGGTGGAAGACACATAGAATCACAGAATGGTTTGGGTTGGAAGGGACCTTCAAGATCACCCAGTTCCAACCCCTGTGCCCTGGGCAGGGCCACCTCCCCCCAGCCCAGGTTGCTCCAAGCCCCGTCCAACCTGGCCTTGAACACCTCCAGGGATGGGGCAGCCACAGCTTCTCGGGGCAACCTGCCCCAGGGGCTCACCGCCCTCACAGCCAAGAATTTCTTCCTAATATCTGCTCTAAATCTCCCCTCTTCCAGTTTGAAGCCATTCCCCCTTGTCCTATCACTCCATGCCCTTGTAACAAGTCCCCCCCAGCTCTCCTGGAGCCCCTTTAGGCACTGGAAGGGGCTCTGAGCTCTCCCATTTTTCGCCTTCTCTTCTCCAGGCTGAACCCCCCCAACTCTCCCAGCCTGTCCTCCCAGCAGAGGGGCTCCAGCCCTCCCAGCATCTCCGGGGCCTCCTCTGGCCCTGCTCCAACAGATCCATGTCTTTCCTGAGGTTTGGTTCCTCACTCAGCCTCCTTTCCCCCCTTCTCCCCCCAGGAATATTTTAGGAATGACTTTGCCATGGCAGATCTCCCCAGTTCAGCGTCGGGCAGCGCCGTACACACCGAAATCTCCCTGCTGCCTGTGCTGCCGATGCCGTGTCACCCTGGCGGGGCGTGTGGGTGGGACGAGCATCCCTGGGGGGGTCCCACGGCTGGCGCTGCCTCGATGGGACTCCTGCAAAACGCTCACTTAGATACAAGGGGTGAGCTCAGCTGATGGGTTTGCGCAGCCTGCTGTGGTCCTGGGGGGAGAGGTGCCGCAGGGAAGCAGCATTTGCTCCTCATTAATGTATTTTAACTATCCTGTCGTTGGATTTTGAGTTCAGGCCATACAGAGAGATTGTTTGCAATTCATTAACTGCGGTTTGCCCGGTGTGTTTCCCCGGGACGCTTGGGGTGATGTGGGTGTTCTCCGTCTGCAGGAGTTCTTCTATGACATAAAACACAGCGATCTGGCCAAGAAGTCGCTGGACATTTCTGTCTGGGATTACGACATCGGGAAATCGAATGATTACATTGGTGAGCTGCAAGTCTCTGTGCTCTGGGTTGCGGTTTTGGTGCCCGCTATAGCGCTCACCGTACGGGAGGGATGCGTAGGTCACCTGTGAGGAACCCCCAGGCTGAGCTTTGAGGTGGGACCATGCAGGTTGGTTGGGCGCTTGTATCAGGCCGTCAAACGCAGTACACCCACTGTACTGCCCCATCTCCAGCATCCCACGGGGTCTTCTGGGCGGGCAGAGCAGCTCTAGGTGTTTCCACTGCATTTTAAATCCAGGAGGTGGAGAGAAATGCCCCAAACGTGGGGTTTGTCCCCATGGAAATGGTTTCCCGCAACATCAGCATCATCTCTGGGTATGATGTCTCTCCTTTTCTTGCAGGCGGCTGTCAGCTCGGCATTACCGCTAAGGGCGAGCGCTTGAAACACTGGTATGAATGTTTGAAGAACAAGGACAAGAAGATTGAACGCTGGCACACCCTCCAAAACGAGAACCACGTTGCCAGCGATTAAAGGAAGCCGCTGCCCGACCCTCCCTAAACAGCCCGTCCCTCTGCCAAGCCCCCGTAGATCTCCAATGTCTGTCTTCCAGCGCGGTCATGCCTTGCTACACGCCTCCGATCCCAGGGCAGCGACGCTCT